GCTATCTCTTGTCAAATACACGCAGACTTGCAGTAAATTGGCCATTGCAAATTGCAAAATCAGATCGTCAAATTAATCGCTTCGTTTTTAAACGTATGCTTCATATCTTCATCCAAAACTTTAGGATTCGATAGAGATAAGTTAAAACTTGTACAGGAAGAAATGGGAGATCCTACCTTAATTTAGAATCGCTGATTTCTCTGGACAAATTCCGAGAAGAAATTGTTCAACATCGCGATCAGCTCAGACTAAACTTACATGTTGTGCATGTCACTCTGAACTCACGTGATAAAATACGGCATTTTGATTGGTTACTACTCGTGTTGTCATGACGCGAAAAACAATAGTAAACACTGAATATGTTAATGAACTGTCATATATGGAGCAATTGTCTTTCTGATTGGTTAACTTTACACGCCTCCTAAATGAATATAGTAGTCGTAGTAAATGATTCATTGATAACTCTGAAAGTGGGCGTGACCAGCTTTATTTTGACACCAAATTCAAGATGTTTCAAATAAAAATGGCCTCGCAAGACGAGGTTGAAATATCGGCAGTTTGATACTGATATGGTCTACGATAGATCAAAATTGACTGCCCCGCGTCATATGTCACGTGAGCCTATATTTGTTGAAAAATGAAAGAGATAGTGACACTTTTTAATCTTAAGTTAATACCAATATTACAAACACATAATCTATTTTTTTCATTAAATATTTATTTCTTCATTATACATACATTTGTTTTACACTGCATTGATTTATTTTTGCAAAACCTTTGCTATTAGATCTTTAATATACCTGATATGCCTAATATAAGCCACGTGGTAGTGAAACTGGTAACTTACTATTTGCCTCTGGGTTATTGTTTATAATAAGGACAGTGTATTGTCCATATAATAGAATCCAGAATAACCCTAATTGTTTATCATAAGGATAATGCTATTGAATTATGTGGAGTTGAATATCTGAATATATTTCTTAGCGTGTGAAGGCCAGGGATACTTAACACCCGGGGGTTCACTCTAAATAATTTGGGTAGGCATGTGCAGCAGGGGCAATTTTGGCTTAGGGCATAAACCATGGAAGCTGGCCAATCTGAGAGGAAAAAAACATGGAAAATTTGTCGAAGAGAGAGCCTTTTTAAGTCAAAAATCAGTTTTTCTACAAATAATGGTAATAAATCGGTAAAATCAGTTGGCGAGGTCTTGGATAAATCACCTAAAAAGTGGATTTTATAGTTATACACCAATATTTCAGGAAATTTACTCCCTTTTATAAGTCCGAGAGGAAGTATGCATGGAAACTTTCAATCTTAAGAGGAAATTGACATGGAAAGAATGATCAAAAAGGCGGTCTTTGGTATTAAGAGGTACATTGTATATTGGAGTGAACCCCCCGGGACTTAACACCACAAGTTAACTGCATCTTTTTGGAATACTTTTTCACTTTTAATGCTGGCAACAATAAACTTTTAAGAATTCAAATAAACACTCCAGATAATTCAAAATATAAATTAGAAATTAAGAAATGGGCTTTGGACCTATCTCGTTGATGAACTCTACTCTCAACATTGTAGACTTAATTGAGACACATGATAAAACGAACAACACAAGGTCATCAAATTCAAAATGATTACATTTATCAAGAATGTTTAAGTGGCCCTTTAACCCGATTCCACATTATTGTACTACATTTTTAAAAACAAATATATTGCCAAAGAAGATAGCAAATGTAAATGATTATCAACTTTAAAGAGAAAATCAGATAGTGAGCAGGCTAAACCGAGGGCTAAACAAAAATTGTTTCAATATTATATTTTTGGCTCATGTCATTCCTTGTCATGTCTATTTTCTAAAAATCACAAAAGTGCATACTTTATTCCAGGAAAACTAAAGATTTTTACAATTATGTATTATTTTTCAATTAGAAAGGTTACCATTCTTATTATTTGGGAGAATTTAAACATTTTTCACAAGCAAGGGCAAGGGTACAAGAGTATAGTAAAAGGAAGAGATAATGATGTAAATGCTGATGTTGTTGATATATTCGTCAAGAGAAATATAGGATTGCCTTGCTAAAAATGTCAAAAGTAAGACAAAATGCAAATCAGGCTCATATTAATAGGAGTAGGTATACATGTAGCTTGTTCATTATCTAAATGAAAAGATTCAGTAGTCTAGGCTGAGATTTGAGAAATTGTCATTTAATTGAAACTAATATCCCAGATGCGAGTAGAAATAATCTTGATTTACATCATTAAAAATTCACAATTCAGTCAAACTGATGTCATATTTGGAATCTACATGTAAAATTACATTTAGAAATGTGATTTTGAAAAGAGTTTATCAACTTTGAAAATTTAATTTTCTTTGAAAATGTGATTTCTAGGTCGGGGAGATTCCCCATAGACCCCATGTTGTAAAACCACAAAAAGTGAAATATCTTTTCTTGTGTTGGGCAGATAATATTTTCTTTTACTGGACATATGTTAATTTGTATAACTATCAGATTAATAAGGGTAATATGAAAAGTGAACCACTAAAACTGATGCATATTCAAGTTTAAGGGAATTTTGTAATACCCTGCCATGTAAATTCCAACCAAATCGAACGAATGTTTTCATGAATCGCCATGTTTGTGATCCAAGGAGGATTGACTCCCAGAATGCAACATCAGGAGTATTAGAAGAAAATACAACAAAATACAAAAAATGTCACAATAATTGTCTCATTTCTAGTTCGTTTTGAAATAGAAATGATATATTTGGATGTTCTCCATATTTAAACTTGCTTATGCAGTGTTTTGCGATAAGTATGACTTGATTTACATAATCTTGTACAGATTTTTTTTTGTTCTCATAAAATAAAAGTACATCTACATCAGTGAAAGTAATATTTTCATATTTTCTTTTTAACACTGTTTTAACATCATCCCAAATTCTTTTTATTTGGTGACACTTAATAAAAAAATGTTCATAAGTATCCTCCTCTTCTACACAATATTTACATTTCTTGGTGTTACTTAGTTTCCATTTTTCTAATTGAATATTCGTAGGGTACACCTGATGTATTATTTTATATTGTAATGATCTGATTTTTGTCTCTTTTATTCTGCCTATGTGTCCCCATATATTTTTCCATTGTAGGTTTTCATACATGAAAGCACTTATGGTTCAGTGGTAGAATGCTTGCATTCAGTATTCTAGTGCTTTCTAAAAAACATTTATAAGTATGTGAACTTTTTCTCGGACTTTTTTCAGATGTTCATTGCGATATGCAGCGATTTAAGCTTAGGGGAAGTGGTCCTAATTATCGTACGGTCCTAATTATCGCACGATTGTCCTAAATAGCTAAAATATGCACCCACCATCTTTTAAACCAGTGTTACGAAAAACAGTTTAACACCATTACTCCCAATCTTCATGATTTATTCATATATTTAGAAATATCTCTTCATTTTTTAAGAATTGTTTACTTCCGCCATTGTCATAAATGCTTTTGCGCAAGAAGTGAAATTCGTCTGACAAATTTTGACCCCCTCCAAATAAAGACAGAAAAGTAAGTGTATAATGTATATTTTTTTGATATTTTACACTAAAACTGATAGAAAAATGATTACAGCATATGTATGTATCTGTTATAAACAGAGACATGTATACAGTATCGTGAAATGACATCTGAAACATAACTGTGCGATAATTAGGACGACTGTGCGATTATTAGGACCACCGCACATGCGAGTCTAAGGGGTCTTAAAGTGTTAGCGTTCGGAGATTGAGAAATGTCAAACACATACTTACATTTTAGAGGAAAGGTTGATCTTTCGTCTCATATTCTCAAAGTAAGTTGAAGTTATCATATTTGAAATCGTCAGTAGTTTCCCTGAGTACCCGTTCGATGATAGGACGACTTCCCCTACTCCTGAAAATTACTGATGCTTTCGAAAACCCATCAGTGTACGATGATGGCACATCGCGACAACACTACTGTACACTGCCATTTGGGTTTTGGCTGTGCATTGATGAGAAACTCAGAAAGTCAAAGTCCCCCAATAAATATGTGGTTGATTTTTCCCCACAAGTCAAAGTGACACATAGTTCAACGTCGTTAAACTCAATAACGGCGTTATTTATTATTAAGAATTTTCTTGGGGCCATTATTGAGTTTAACCTCTTTACTATTCTTTCCATTGATGCAAGTTTTGGATCCACCGAAACCATTTTTCCGCGATAACATGCAACTGATACTTGACAACAATATAAAAACACATAACATCAAGCGATTCAACACAATATTATTGTATTAAATGGTCATTTATACAAGTAAAATGAGGTTAAACTTACCAATCTCTAAAATGACATTTCCGCATGTCCTTCATTGTGTCTGTTCGTCCCGGGTTAAAATTTAAACTATTGAAACGAAATTGTTGTCAAATAGATTGATAATTATCACGCGATTACTCGGGATAAAATAGCCATTTTTGAGGATAGCAGGTATCTTTGATTGATTTATATAGCGCTTGTATACACACAAAATCGTTATTAATTGCAAACCTACTGTTCGTTGATGCAGTGTCGCAATGACGGTTAATTCCTGATACGATTTGCAATTTCGATGTTACCGGAGCTGACCGATATTTTCGTAAAATTCCAAACCTGTCTCCAATATTTTCGTAATTATGCATCAATATGGTCTAAGGGGGGTACGGGATGGTGTGTATGTATTTATAAGGTATGTATGCATGCTTGAATCACATTCTTTATGTAATATTACCATGTTTTCGGAGTTTAATTAGTTCCGCATGTCGAAACCTGCATGCTGAACGATTAAATGATCGCAACAAGGGCAAAATCATCATGGAAGTTAGACCTAGCCGGGGCCATAAGACATGTCAGATAAGAAACGATGCCCAGGCTAGGTCTAATGTTGTTGGACTAAGTGACACATTGCAGATTTGGCAAAAAAATGGGAACATTAGTTTATGAATGTAGATACTCACCGATTAATCATAATGTACGATCTTGATGAAGTGATATACAATCAGAGTTGTCCGCAATAGCGTTTAATGTTCAGTCTTAGGTAATAAGGAAGATAAACGCACAAAAGTGATAAATTTTAAAAACTATATATTCAACACAACCTGCAATGCCCTCTTTCAACGGTATCAAAAGTAAAATGTCAAAACTTTGACTGAAATATTAACGGCGAAAACATTTGTTTATGTATTATTAAGATGTCAAAAACTCTACAAAAACTGTTATTATGAATACATATATATTGAAATTCATAGAAAAATTAATATATATAAAGAGAAATTAATATATAGGGGAAATATATTGAATTGATTAATTTATTTAGTGAGTTCGATTCGGTCTACGTTGGATCAAGTTGGCCATGTTAAACATTTTCAAAATAAAAAAAACGTGACAAAATAAGGTGCTAAAATTCACCATTATCACGTTTTGTAGATCTATTTCACAATATCGGCAATTTTCCAAAAAAGGTAATTGAAGCAGATGTTTTTTCCAAAATCTTTCATCGTTATGACAGTTGTTCACAATTGTTTTTTACTTAGGCTAGCCAATGTGGCTCGTACAGTCTGTTACACTGATTCAAAGGCAAGCAGTTGAAACTGAAAAATAAGAAATCTAAAGACTGTAACAAATGGCCTCTGTAACAAATAGCAGGCATGGGCGTAGCGCCCGGTACGCTGCGTACGCACAGGCGTACCAGATGGTTGCAAAATCGCTCCAAATACAGTGCTGATATATAATAATTAAGGGTGCGTTTTCAAACTAAACAGAGTGCTCCTATCAAAATGAATTTGCCTACATACCCCTGAGACTCTTATCTGATAGATAGAATGCACAAATAAAACAAAAGTTTTGCTATTATAGGTAAAAAGTTCTCTTGAAATTTCGGAGTGATTTTACCTGTTAATTCTGTCCATGGTCCGCCATTTTTGCGGAAGTTACACTGAAACGCAAACTCCATGAAACGAAACGAAATCACTAGAAAAAACATGGCACACATTGCGCGCATGTGCAGCAAAGTTTAGACCAATCAGATTATTTGATTATTTTGCGCACATGAATTATTTGCTTCTGAGCACTTACAAGCTTACCACAATAAACAAACCTGGCAGAGACTACCCTTAGCCTACTCCATTTTGGCAAAATTTCAGCTCAAACTCGTGACAAATGCATTATACATACGCTGGTGTGAAGCCTTGGAGACACTCATTTTGGTAAATATGATTTATGGGGTATACTTTTCTGCAGTTTGTGGGAGTTTGGAACATTAAATGTTAAAATTCAAGAAAATATGCCAATTAAACGACTGATCAATTAATATATACCAGCACTGTACGACCAAGATTTCAAAATTTTCCTGGGGAGAACCCCCTTACCCCCCTAAATACTTGTTTTTTGATTCTTGACTCTTGTTCCTGTGGTGATGGCGTACTACTTGGAAAAATAGCGCTACGCCCATGGCAGGTGGTGACATTTTGCATGTGAATGCATTATTTGACTGTATTTTATAACTATAACATTACTCCAACTTACAACTTACAAAGTTTCTCTACTGTACTAGTAATTGGACTGTTTTGTTTCCAGGATAAAAGATGGGTAAGAAACGAGCATCAAAGAAACGAAAGGCGACTGATGAGATCACATCAGAGGGTGAATCTAAACATCCATACATACAGTTCACTAAGTACCCTGAGCAAGTAAAGGCAGTAATAAAGCCTGATGAACCGATAGAAGAATCAAGAAATGATTCCAATAAAAATAAAAGTCCTAACAGAATTAAAACTAAAGCTATTGATGAAGACTTTGAAAAAAGGATTCCAACCCGAAGTCATAGAATCGGAAGTGATTTTTTTTCAAAAGTGAGAGAAAAATCCAATGATCGTAAGAGTAAAAAATCTGAAAAGATGTTGAAGAACAAAACTAAGAGTGATAGTTCTGAAGACGATAAGAACTCTAAAAACAATGGAGATGAGTCGGCACAATGTAATGCTAGAAGTGGTGCAACGCGTAATACCAGAAGTGGTGCAATGCGTAATACAAGAAGTGGTGTGTCTTCCAGTGACTTATCAAGCTCAGAGATTGATGGAGGAAGAAGTCCCTATAGGGGGCGCCCTAGTCCTAGCAGGCCAATTGGATCTATGCTGAACCCTGTCTACTCAGATGACCCTGTAGACTTTGATATGACCCCCCTTGAAGAACAAGAACATGTCGCCTATAACTATAGCCTAACAAAGGAAAGGTAATACTAGTCCAACCTTGAATAGGATAATGAAATAAATGAATAATATAATTTTTACTATTATTGTTATTGTATTTCAATTTTGGTATTTTAAAAAAAAAGATTTTATTATATATATCGATTGGAATTAGAATGTTCATTATATGTGTTTCTAGTATGATCCATGTGGACTCCAAAAGAGTAATTCTCTCCCTTCATCACCCCCACCAACTGAGCTTCACAGGAAAAGTGCGTTTAGGGGTACTACATGGTGCTGTCTCTGTTCTAGGCTACCACATCTATCCCAATGGTATCACACATCCTGTATATTCCCCAGAATGCAATAACTACATCACCATAGTAACCGAGTCAACTACAGCACAACATATCCACAGGGAGGATATCCAATCCCTGGGAGAACTTTGCAATCATTATGACATTGCAACATCCATATACAACAAACTAAAGAAACATGAAAACGATCCTGAAATATCATTACTGTTGCTGGAAAATTTAGACTGTGATGTATGTAGATATCTCTCCAGTGTGCCTGGAAATACAGAGTTGCTCATGAAGCAGCCTAAGGGATATAAAGAGCGTCCTGATCTGCTCCCCCAGGAGAGTGATGTGATCCTGAAGGAGATAGGTGTATATCTTCAAGATTCAAGTGCTCCTGTTGTGGGCCTTGACAATGTAACTACTGATGTTTGTGATACATTTGTTAAGAGAATTTCAGCTAATTCAGGTAAAATCTACATTCGAAGATCTGTATTGAATTTCACAATTTTTATGTCACCACCAAAAGTGGTGAAGAATTTTTGTAGTCTCAAACTTTTTTGTTGACAGTGTTCATGAGTAAGGGGCTCTTGGACATGCCATTCAACATTTTAATGTTTAGGTCCTGTTTATTAGAAAATCCTTACATATTCTGAGATGCAAGATGTATGTCAGCATTTCCAAAAATCTAAAATATATAAATTAAAAGCAAACTTTCAACATTACTCTGTGCATGTGTATTTATTTATGTGCGCAGACTTGTTCATGTTCCTCTCATAACACTTCAAGGCTGAGATCAGATCATATTGTAGGTTTAACTCATCTTTTGTACATTATTACCTGCAGGATCAATGCCAATTGTTGCAGTATGTGGGGGAAAAAGTGTTGGAAAGTCCACTCTGTCTAGAATACTCATAAACAAAGCCCTCAACTGGTATGTATTGTATATGGGGTATTTGTTTTGTTTTAGTGAGGCAAATACTTTGCTGTATCCACGAGGTCATGAGTTGCCCCTTGTGTTTTCAAATATTGAAATTGAACTCATTATTTTTAAAAGGAAGCATGTAATGTTATGTAAATTTGAATTTTAAAATGTGTCTGGGAACTTTGAACTAGGGGTGACAAAAAGTAATCATTAATATCGTGTTAATAGTCTTGTTTATAAAGTTATTGATAAAGATACCATGAATTTATGGTTGCTTTTTGAAGCAGTGAAATCAATATTTTTGCCAGGGTAGGTCAGTGATTTTCATTTCATTCCTGTTTCATAGATTTGTTCTATTGTTATTACGTGTTGCTTTTGATGTGGGTTTTAGAATACAACTCAAGATCAAATGCATTGTTCTCATTTTACATGGCTGAGGTATTACTTTACAAATCATGCAACTAACTTATTTATGCACATGTACTTTTATTTGTTGTAGTATAGAGCGAGTGGCATATCTTGACTGTGATCTTGGTCAGACAGAGTTCACTGCCCCAGGTATGGTGTCACTATCTATCGTGGACACTCCCGTGTTAGGACCACCATTCACTCACCAGAGGGAAACAGCAATGTAAGTAGGCTATATGAAATCATTTTGTTTTAAAGCTTTCAGGATTATTATTGCTTTCAGTCCACATCTGGTTTAACCCTTTGCTGGTCATCTTTAGTTGAAAGTTGGAATTGATGTTAATTTGTATGTTTTTTTCCAATTTTTGTGCATCTTGCTTTTGTCATCATGATTTCAGAATATCAAATTTTGCCCAGTATAAGAATGTTCATACCAAGTTTTGGAGCTGATTAACTTTGAGTCATTGGTCATCTTTCTATTTCTAATTGTCTTGTCTTGTCTTACAGTCAGATATATGTCGGAGCTGTGTCACCTGCAGATTGTGTTCTCCACTACCTGAGGTGTCTTCGTAGGTGTTACCAGAAGTACCAGGATGTAGCGCCGTCAATACCCCTGATTGTAAACACAATGGGCTGGAATCAGGGTGAGCTAAAAACCCAGTTTAAGGGTTGAATTAGAGGTCCAGAACTAATTTCTTTTTGCAGCAGCATTAATTGCATTATTCTTCATTTTAGTTTTTTATGTCACAAGTGGTGATATATTGTTACAGTCTCCAACATTTTTGTGGATGATGTTCAGCAGTTTGTGTTTGGCTGTTTGCATACAGCGTTTTTATCAAATGGCAGGTTGTGACATTTTGTCATGTTAATGCCATGTTGTTTCATGTCATGCCTATTTTCTAAAAAATGACTCAACTTCAATTCATATTCTTGAAATCTCAAGAGATTTTAAGTGCTACAATAACCACGTGGTTCATTAGAAATTAGTGAGTGCAAGTCACGAAGAAAACTAGAATGGACTTGATAATAAAAAATTGAGCCAAGAGTTGACTAAAAAACTATAGCAAAACTAAATCATCCAAAACAAATGAATATCCTTGAAATGGCTCAAGCCTGTAAATTAATGTAATTTTATCGAAATTGCTATATCATTTTATTTTGTTATGCTATTTGACAGGTATGGGAATTGTCCTGCTTGCTGAAACATTTGACATCATCCGACCAACAACAGTCATCCAGATTGACCACATGACCCAGAATAAAAACTATCCTCCAATCACAGGAGAGTTCATATTTTCTGCATCACGTTTCCTTGAAACTGTAAGTATATGAGTAAATCTTAGTGTGGATGCAAATCTTTTTTTAATATTCCCGTTCTTGCCATAAGTATTCTACAGTATCCTACTGTTTTCATAAACCTCCATCTCACATAGTGCGAGATATTCTGTCTTTACAAACTGAATTTTGACATAGCAGCCCATCAAAGGGCTCAGACACTCAAACAATTGCCATGCCATGTTGTTTTCCAGTGTAGTTGGTTGGTAATAACATTAACCCAAGTATATTACATCCTGACTCACTTCAGTGTTGAAATCTGCCATGTGTGCTATAATAAGATTTAATTATAAATGTTTATTATAATCATCACATCATGAAACCTGTCTTTCATATCTAAATTATTTTTAGTATAATACATATTCGGCTTTAATATTTCTGTATTTGCATTAATACAATTATTTAATTCTACTGAGGTGAATTCCTCGAAGGACTAGTGGAATATCATCTTAAGAAGGTACCAGTCAGAATTAAATATTTGTTTTATTATTCACTGTTAATATTCTTCACTCTCTCCTTGAATCACCATTAAATATAAATTGACTTCCATGAGTTTTTAAACCAAAGATATGCCTTCGAATAAAACTGGTTCAATTTTTTATTCAATGTTGATTCGTCACTTTTTCCAAATCAATCACATCATTTTCGCAAGATATCCAATCAATTGATATCCCCATGAATTTTATCAATTTCTTTTGTAAAAATATTTGGAAATCTCTGATTAATGTCTGATATTTTTGCTATGCGAAAATTACACTGGAATAACTTAATCAGGGAGATATAAAACTAGAAGTCAGCAACTCCACACAGTAGCAAATTCCAATGAACGCTATATTCACGAATCTGTATACATGTATGTTACAATGTAATATTTACCATCCACTGTACCCTTGATTTAATTGGCAGATATTAAAATTCATACATTAGAGACATATCAGAATTTCCAATTTAAGCATTTGGGTAAGTCATGGCAGCCATTTTGAATGTCTTAAGAAAACAAAGCGCGCGATAATACTTTGTATCATATTGAATGGTGTTTTTGAGTTTTCATACTTTAACTATTTAGTAGCTTTATAAATAATTTCAGGTGTACTTTGTTATAAAAGCCTATGTTGTTGTTAACAGTAGTTATATGTGATAATTTTGTAAAAAGAAATCAGCAAAAACTCATAATCACTTTTTTATTGTCGGCCATTTTGGATTTTTTCGTTCTAAAATCTTGTCTGTAAAGTCTTGTCTAAGCGTTTTCAGGTGAACTGTTTGGTAGATCAATTTCAAATTTTCAGGGATGATTCTTAGAATGACAATCTAGATCCGATTAGTTTTTTGGCATTCTGGATAAATGTCAAGGCAGCCACTTTGGATTTTGCGTCTTAAAATCTTGCCTGTAAAGTCTTGTCTACGCGTTTTTAGGTGAACAGTTTCGTAGATCAATTTCAAATTTTCAGGGATGATTCTCTAATATGAAAATCTAGATCTGATTAGTTTTTTGGGCATTCTGGGTAAATGTCAAGGCAGCCATTTTGGATTTTCCATCCTAAAATCTTGTCTGTAAAGTCTTGTCTATGCCTTTCCAGGTGAACCGTTCGGTAGATCAATTTCAAATTTTCAGGGATAATTCTTAGTATGAAAATCTAGAACTGATTAGTCTTTTGACATTCTTGGTAAATGTCAAGGCAGCCATTTTGGATTTTCCATACTAAAATCTTGTTTGTAAAGTATTGGTTACATGTTTTCTGGTTAATAACTGTTTGACGGATCAATTTCAAATTTTCAGGGGTGATTTTTAGTATGAAAATCTAAAACTGACTAATTTTTGGGCATTCTGGGTAAATTTTAGGTGGCCATTTTGGATTTTCCGTCCTCAAATTGTGTCAGTAAAGTCTTGTCTACTCATTTTCAGGATATCCATTTGACGGGATCACCCATGTGGAGACATTTTGTACACAATGCGTTTGTGTTCTTGTATTAACTTTTGTATAAATGAAATGATGCATGCTTTTGTGGTACACAGACTAATAAATTTTATGCAATAAAATATCATTCGAACATGACTATATTCACGCCTTCTATAAACTGTTAAATAATACCCCTGGTAATACGTGTAATGTGTGACGTCATAACGACGGGTCGTATAAATGGCGGACCATAATATACCAATATGTACCCATATCTCCACATGAGGTACCCATATCTACACATGTGGTACCCATATATCCACATGTGGCACCCATATATAGTGGTTCTAATATATCTACATGTGGTACCCATATATCCACATGTGGTACCAATATCTCCACATGTAACACATCATATCTGCACAAGTGGGGTTTCACTTACTACATTCTGGTCCCTCATATCCAGGAAAACAGGAACATATGTAACCATCAACTCCATCCACACATGTTCCTCCATTCAAACATGGATTGCTAGCACACTCATCTATATCTGGAATGAGATACATGCAGATTATTCAATTGGTACTCAAAATCAATGGCCTTGATATAAAACATCCATATTTCATTTTAGAACGCATCTTATCTACTTACCGACATCACAATGCAAACCCTCATATCCAGGAATACAAATACATGAGTAACCATCAATTCCATCCACACATGACACTCCATTTAAACATGGACTGCTAGCACACTCATCTATATCTGGAAGGGGATGTGTATTCTTAGATTGATACTCAAAATCTACAGTCTCGCAACAAAATATGAGTATTTCTTGATATAAGAACACTTCTCGTCTACTTACCAACATCACAATTCAAACCCTCATATCCAGGAACACAAGTACATGTGTATCCATTGACTCCATCCACACATGTTCCACCATTCAGACATGAACTGCTAGTACATTCATCTGTGTCTGAAAGGAGGTACATATTCTCAGATTGATACTCAAAATGAATGGTCTAACAACAAAACAATTGCATTTATTCTTAAAACATATCTTGTCTCCTTACCGACATCACAATGCAAACCCTCATATCTAGAAACACAGGAATGTCTGGAAGGATATACATATTCTTAGATTACACTTAGATAAAACATTACACTTATCCTTAGAACATATCATACCAACATCACAATGCAAACCCTCGTATCCAGGAATACAAGTACATGCGTAACCATCAATTCCATCCACACATGTTCCACCATTCAAACATGGACTGCTAGCACACTCATCTATATCTGGAAGACAGTTACATTGTATTCAATAATATTGAGATTAACCAAAAACTAATTTATTTTTTATTCAGTTAAGAATGAGCTTTTTTGTTATAATTCACAACAAAGTGCATGTATTTTCAAACATGAAAATGTTACCTAGTTGTCAGTAGGTTTACCACCAGGTGGCTAAATACACCCCATGCCTCGACATTTTAGGCGATCTGCATGGGGTGTGAATGGGCAAGATTACATTAAAATCCATTTAGGTTTTGATACTCTTCATAGTTATCCTATGGACAAAGTTTATTCAATGTTTGTTACTTCAGCAAAATTAGAACCTGCCCGTATGAGTTACAGTATTGACATCTTACCTCTAACATAAGTAAACACCCATCCCAGCTCTTTCACAAGGTTTTTGTCATCAACAGCTACAGTGTACTCCTCGCATGTTTTATCTTTTTCAAAGTATGCTACTGATAGACAGTATTTGTTCTTCATGCATCCTTGCACACATTCACTGATACTATCTTGTTGAAATGAATGTCCTGTCTCAAGTAGTTTTGTATCCTTAATAAGTTTTATGTAAAACCCCAGGGACTCGCAGCATATATGTGGAATTGTGAGCAAGAAGAAGATACTTATTGCATACCCGTGCTCCATTTTTCTAAGACTGGCATTGAATTGTGGCAAATGCATGTTCAACGATATAGATCCTGTTGTTAACTGACGTAAATTCAAAATTGTGAAAATCAGTATTTAAGCAATTAATACCATTATGAATTGAAAATGATGTAAGAGTCTTCAAATGAAGCTATTGCATAAACAAACATTGCACTACATAATATGATCAAATACCAACAGAGTAAGTAGGAATCAGACATCTCGAATAATTCTGGAGAGCAATTAGTGATGAAAAACTTTTAAATAATTAGTAAATTATATAATAAGCACTTAATAATTACAAATGTTAAACAAAGTGAAATTATTAAATTGCCCAAGTCAACTCCTGTCCATTAATTGCCATTGAATACAGTTAATTGTAATCTTAAGTTAAGTAAATATGTACATTACATGTAATTTTATTGTATGTTACAGGATGTGAGTAGCAGCACTAGCAGACATCAAGACCATGAACTTTTCATCACCTCGAGTTTAGTGATTGGCTCCAATCAGAGGAGGTATAACATTGGATCAATGTGTCAATTTTGCTGTCACCTGTAGTCTTTAAATATGGTCAGCTTGAATATTCAATTAAAACAAAAAATTAAAAAGAATGTATATTTCAATCTCTAGCTCATTCCTAATCATGTTCTTGATCTTCAATGTTCCAATCACAGTACAGTACATTCATTTTAGGACTGGATTTGGAGCTCCTGATTTACGTGGATTTTCCCTGATGTCATCCTTTGCTGCACCCATTCTCTCATCATTTTCCCGTTCGTTGACTGGTGTCTCCCCCTATGAAGTGCCCTGGTCATCAGTAGCGGTACATGTGTGCAACAACCAGGTGCCACGATCTCAGATCCTATACAGTCTGAATGCATCTGTGGTTGGCTTGTGTAAACTTAACACCTCTTTGGTAAGTTTGTGCGTACAAGGAAGCTCATCTCAAGGGCATTATGTATGTGACTTTGTATCCTGAACATCAAACTCTTGACATTTTATCTATGCACTTGTCAAGACATGAAACATTGTTGAACCAAACACTCATTTTCACCATTAGTTTAATCTAGTTTCTTATTGGAAGTTCTCTTAAATTTTATAAAGCTACGTGTATTGTGAAATGTTAAAAATGTATTAAGGATTCAGTGAATCTTTCAAAAATTAATTATGTTTGGCATAAATCTCTTATACATGCAAGGAAGTGAGAAAACATCCTAGTAACATTCATTGCAATTTGCATTTTTTAAGTTTATTCAATTTATTTTCTATTTATTTTAGTTTGTAAAGTTTGGTGATGACCTTCCAATGTTCCTAGAGGAAACTCCTGTCACAGAGTGCCTAGGTTTGGCTATTATACGAGGAATAGACCCCAACAGGAAGATCTTCTATGTAGTGACCTCCCTCCCCACTACAGAGCTCAGCAAAATTAATGTATTTTTGAAAGGTGCTGTGGACATTCCTCAATCATACCTCATTCATAAAAAGGTAATTGATTTATACTGTGCAGTGATTGAGTTTCAACAATTGCAAATAGTCTAATGTTTCATGGATTGTAAGTCATGTTTCAATGATTGATTGCCAAGATCCAATAATAGCAGTGATGGTTTTCAACCCTTTGAATACAAGTGTTCTATTTTTATGAAATTCAGTGTTTATTTTGATGATATTGGTGAGCATTACATAATTAGTATAAATTGAACAAAATTTGTCAGAGTTGAGCCATTTAGTGGGAAACTCTGACTAATGCAATAAGTTATGATTTGTATTTCTGTTGTATTCCAGCCTGTGGGGAAGCCAATGCCATACATGGATGATTATAAGGCAGGGAAAGGAACCCACACTGCGAAACGCATCTTCAAACAATACAGAAAATATGCAGATAGACTTTAATAATGGATTCCATATTGTTGATAACAACAGTTTTGATTATAAGTCTGATGAACACTTCATTTCTAATTCGATTTAAGTGTTCCTCCTTACCTTAAACTTTTGAATAATTAGTCAATATAGAAATTGAAACATCCACTTTAAATAGATGTCACTAAAGTTGGATTTATACATGCACCTTCTTTGTACAGCTCATGTACACCTAACCTTGAAGAACACCACATATACCATCTTTATTAAGGGGCTTCATTAGCATTTCTGACATCAGGCAAAATGAGAGAAAATAACATGCAAGCCAAATAATTGGAAATTGTAATTTTATCACGGAAACAATCGGAAAAATTCTGCAAGCGACAGGCAATTATGATAGAAACACCCTAAGAAAATTGCCTATTTCTGCAACGCCTGTGTATTATGGGTAGATAAGATCCTTATAATGCTGAACTATTGTTGTTGTTCCATGAAATTATAGAAGGAGCTGAAGTGATTGTTTTCAGTTCCACTTGTTCTTGTCTCTTATTGCGGATGCAGTCATATCCGCTGATAAATTGATTGTTCATATTCTGTTATGCAGCCGATAATGTGCATATATTTGATATGGTAATCAATATTTTTAAATTGAGTAATAAATGAAATGAGATATAAATTGTTTCATGTTTTGTGTTATCAAAGGGAGGGAGATTAAAATGACTCCTGGTTCATTGAACTTTTGTCAAGTCCAGAATGTTTGAGACATGTATTTCTAGATATAGATTTGAAATTGCTTTGTTAACAGCTTGAGCATCTGCAAACGATAATACTAATGTTTTTGAAAGCGTTTTACGCTATAGAAATGTAATATTAAAATGCTCTCTTGAACCTCAATGCAATGAAATCATGGAGTAACATGGACATGATCTCTGGAACTTGTTGTATATGATTTTGATTATTTATTCATATAATAATAAATAATACTACAATATACAGTATTTGTCTTTAATTTGGCGAATTAGAACATCTCTAAATTAAGTACATGTACTTGCCAAAATCCCTGGGAATTTGACATGTTTTCGGCTTGGTGTCCCCCAGTTATTAGAAAGATACCAAGATGGCTGGGCAGTTAAAAGTTATAGAAACAACAAGAAATATTGAGGAAATTGATCATGAAGAATACTGACAATGAGTATCTTGAATTGGGTTAGATAGGAGGATGTTGGGGACACTTGAAAAACCCCCAAATTAAATAGAGGCCCAAAAACACAAAATTGCCAAATTAAGAAACGCCAAATTAAAGATGAATACAGTAGTAATGTGCCTATACTTGTTTCATCGTCTTTCAAGACCAGAATTGCATTTCACTTCACAAATGTATTTATGGAAATTCTATTAGGGGGGTAATTCTGATATACTTGAAACAAAAGGCCAAATATAAGGGTTTCTCATGTCAATATATTTCTAAAGCACTGCTAAAGAGAGAATACATTCACAAATATACAATAGAAAAATACTAGCTTTTCTCTATAAGCTACATTTAAAATTCATGGTCACACTGACAAATAGCTCCTGAATACTGCACTAGCTTTGGATGTTAGAATATGGGTCAAAATTAGTTCTTTGGAGAAATGAGATTGGGACTTGTACTTGGTATTAAGGTATACCGGCCAAAGAGGGTCATCGATAAAAGTAAATGACCTGGTGTCAAATGAAATGGATAAATTGAACAAACATAGATAGTGAAACTGAAAAGATGAGATGGTTTAACTGTAAAATTAAATTCAATTCAATATTTATACTAACACAAGTACAAGATGAGGTGTTCATTTTCCAAAGAACTCGAAAAAAACCTGTTGATATAGGACCTCAATATATTGACTAGTCATAGACCTATATATTACCAATATGTACAAGTTACTAACTTCATGTATGTCACTGCTGGACAACATTGCCTTCAAATATTAAATCTGGCAATTTTGTCATATACAATAAACATGATAATTTGTTTTAAAAAATCAAAAATTATCATAAAATTTGTTCACCAAAATATGTAAAAAAGGGACAAATTGAAAGAAGGATGTAAATTATTAAAATAGTAATGTCAACTACTGTGACAATAAAATATAAAATACATTTTATATAACATCATATTTTGATCATTAGAGAACAATTCAAACATCTTATCTCAAATTATTACTCTTTATTCACGTAATAGCTAGGCCTGATGTATCAAATTCCAGCCAATCAGAACTCAGTATTTAAAATAATACGTATTCTGTTTTTACACATCAGAGTGTAAATTCGGTGAAATTGACAACCCTCTCATAGATTTCATAATTTCAAGTTGGCAGTTAAGTAAAAAACTACAAAATCGTATCATAATGAATAGCATGGTAGGTGATTAAGCAGGTCAAAAGGTCAAACTTTGCAGTTTTTGGGATGAATTGCATTCATTCTAGTGACATTACAAAAATTTGCAATGTGTGAGAGGAATTGAGTCCTGGGCCAATAACTAACATTGAAATGTGTATTTAACATTGACTTGAAATAAGGATACCATGTAACAGAACAATGCATGTTATGTATTTGAAATGGTAAATCTACCATATTGAACCATAGCATTTACAAGCAAATAAAACGTCAATCAGTTTTATTAACTTAAAGAAATTAAGGCATCACCCCAATTGTCAATACGACAATATAATTTGATAATAAAAACTGCTGAAAACATTAACTTTATTAGATGGAGTCAAGATAACCTCATATTCTCGTAAACATTTTCTTGTCTAAACATTGACTCTAAGACGCAGGAACAGAAATCAATGGTTTTACGGATCTATGAAAGAATTCTTGCGTGATGCCATGGAATTAAATTACTCTGTGAATATTCTTTTATTTGACATCACACCACAATCTAATAAAGTTAAAAGACTTTCACACATGCATTTTATCTGATATTATTGTAGTATTTTATTGCACTGTATTGTATTGTGTTGTATTGCACCATATGTATTGTATTGCATGTTAGATTGCATTGTATACATGTAGCTCTGTCCCAAACATACAATGAATACTGAATAGTTGTGTTTGGATTGAGCTTAGACTCAAATGGATGATGATATTCATTAGTGTTGAAACGTATTCAATGGAGATTTGCAATCTGTTCTACCCATACATGCTCTTGTTTGAGTGAGTTTCATCAATGCAATGTACAAGTAATTTGAGTTACAGTATCCTCCTAAGCTGTGTTCTCAGATTTCAGAAATATTTGAGAATTTCTCCGTAATTGTTTACAATCGAAACTTTATTAGTTTGCATGACTAAATATTTGTAATCCAGATTTAACTTGGTTCAGCTGAAATCGAAGGTTTGTCGATATCGAACAAATGTTGTCCACCATCTTGAATGATACAATCCTGTTAGTATCATCCTGCTGTGGATTCGTGTGTTTGAGACATTGAATATTATTTATCTATTTACATAATCAATTGTCTCTAGACTTTTTACAATTTCAGACCTTTCATCTCTTCCATTCCTGACAAGTGATCTAATATACACTTGCTTACAACTTTAGAACACAGTCCAATGCATAGAACCAGATTGTGGCTATGATACTGCTTCATTTCTCTAGGCTACAATTAACTCCTTGGAGCTGTGCACTTGACTGTGCATACTTATCACATGTAATATGACTTCAATCATGTACATTTAGTAATGCCATAGCTGCACCATGGGAACACCTACAGGTTTGCATTACCCTAGTAACCAAATATGGTAATACCATGGAAAAACCAAAGTAACAAATGGTATGTAACCATAGTGATACATGGAAACACCTTGTAGCTTAATAGCACATTGTATTATGTATATTAACATCATGGCAATACCAAAGTAACTGAATGGAAACACCATAGTGACAGCATGGCAATGCCATAGTAACAAATGGCAACACAGTAACACATGGTAACACCATAATATATGGACACACCTAGTAACAGCATGGAAATTAATCATGGTAATACTACACCATGATAACAGTATTGCAATATCACAAACAGTATGGTAAAGCTATGTTTGATGATTGAGTCAGTTAAAAGATTGCACATCAGAATTGTCATATATAAGTACACATATAAGAATACAAGAGACAACCCTGACATAGACCATGATCTGAACAAAATAATCTCTCAATGGTTCAAACATCAAGCGTCTTGTCAGATTATGTCTCTTGTCACTGAGTATTTCACAAATAACTTATTACATTATTATACTTATAGATAGAGAAAATCTCAAAGTGAATTGACATGACTGATGATATGTTAAAAATATATAGGTAACTACCGTATTCTATAATGGATAAACAATGAGTCTTGGGGATTAGAAAAATGGCCAAGGGGCGTAGCACCCAGACCATTATTTTTCCTAAGACCCAAGACGATTTGTTTATCTAATTTAAACCACACAATGGGCACTGACTATTATCAAAGGTAAGTGGTCCATGATCCAATTTTAGGAAAAATTTATTTCTTTTGTATTGACTATGAGGTAAGTGTATTGAGAAGTGAGGGGGTGTAGTTCAGCTTCAGTGCACTGCATTTAACAGAGCATGTATAGTTTTAAGTTTGTTTCTTTTGTGTTAACTATTCAACTATTGAAAGAGTGAATAGGATATAATTAGCTAAGCCTTAGTGCACTGCATGAGCCGGTCAATCATCTTTTGTGCCACACTGGTTTTGGAAAGCTAATGCCAAGTGTACATTCTTAAAAAACAATAGAAAAATAATGCACTCCTCTTTGTTACAGCTGGGTATTCTTAAAAAAAACAATTAATTCTATTGTGTTGCTACCTAAGTTTGGTTTAATTACATTACACACACCAAGTTCATTTCTCTTAATACAGATGTGTCAGTTGAAAAATAGTAACTGAAATCTTGCACAGAAACAAGATGCTACTTAAGAGGTAAAAGTACATGTAACGTGACATATGACAGTTAATGTGAGACTTAACTGTACAAAACATTCATCCCCCACATCCCCCGCATCCACCACAGCCTCCACAACTTCCGCATCCTCCACATCCCCCACAACCCCCACATCCTCCACACCCTCCACATCCCCCACATGCCCCCGGGTCACCTCCAACGTGACCCTCAGCATCGTAGCAATCGCCAACAGCCAAATTATTCTTTATATAACTATTACATGGGGTGTCATAATGGTAACCTGCTGCGATGACCAATGGGAGGCCATCTACATCGATCCGTTTATGCTGACTGGGGGGCCTCAATGTTGAAGGCTGGGAGGAACCAAGTTCGTCAGGTTGTGGGGGTGGTCGTGGCTGGCACAGAACTTGAAGTACGGCCACAGAGAATGCCAGACACAAGCACTGGCCGATATTCTCCGTCTCCGGTTTTACAGATATTGTACCTTTACTCAGGTCGACCAGCATGTGCTGCATTATAAATCTAAACTGTCCACTTGGGTTTGGAGCTTGGCACACGGACCACTGATGTGTACGGAGGTTCAGGAAACTCACCACCAGATGGCCAGGGTCGCCAGGTATTCCTGGTACCCCCCTCACAGGCTTTGAACCTGGGGCTCCCGGCTTACCTGCAATGAACAATAACTCTATCCCATAATAAATGAATTAACAACTAGTTTGAGAT